TTATTGCCTTTGTGAAAGTAGCCATTCCCTCACAGAAGGAAGTGCCGTTTTGTAACTTCCAGAGAAAGCAACATGGGTGATGTTGTGGGATGTAAAAGTTCAGTGGGCCATGACTTTACTTCTTTGTGGAAGAGCACAAGACTCTGCCTTCTTTGCTGGCCGTGACATAGGCTTACAGTTGCTTATGGGACTTTGGGGATACGGCAAGGCCTTTTCTGTTGAATTTCTGCGTAATTCCAAACAGTGTGAACTTTTCAAATCACTTGAGAAGTGCCCCAGATGGTGTGACATTCTGCTTCATGGGAAGATTTGAAAGTATTCCCTTTGCATAATTTCTTGTTAACTATTTCATTACGCTTGAAATGGGAGAACACCAAAGCCAAGAACTCTGTTGACATTTTGGCAGTGCTTGTTTAACCTCCTAGTGCACAGGCTACATTTGTTGAAAAATATTATTCTTACCTTTGCAAATCATCAGTAATTAATTCCCTTGGAAATATCTACTGCTGCACACAGCCAGCTTGGGAGGCTGCTGACAGATCATAGTTTTACATCAGGTGCTAACAAATTGATTATTAAATTTCAGAAGTAACTGATTTATAGCAACAACTTAATTTCTGTTCCTCTCTAATCTATTCACTGACTGTATTTTCAAACAGTGCAGGATGTCTGGATTGCTTTGCTGCTTCTAGTGGTGAATTGAGCACAGCATATTAGATGTGAATGACTTGCCCAGTTCAAGGGTTACTAATGTATCACAGGCTTGTGAAATGCACAAGATGTTAAATTGCTATCAGCTGGGATATTCACTATTAAGAATGCCCTTGTTAATTCTATATGCTTTTTATTTACAATAAATAGTAGCTACAGTTACCAGTACAGTGGATTTTCTTGAAGTAATGTGCAGCTTGCAGTTAAAGCAGTGTATTCCTGAGTCTTAGTCATGCTGTGAAGGATAAGAAAGGGTGCTACAATGGAGCAGCTCATGTTCAAGTCCCAGTGCATACCTAAATTGTAATGGTAGGCCATGTTAGCTCACTTGGTGTGATGTAAGTCACCGACTGAAGGCATTTTAAGGAGGCATAGGGGTACGTATTCAAAACACAGTGCAAGGTTTTGACTATACAGTGTTTATAGAGATATCAGATAGGAGTCACGGTTAGAGGGAGCAGCATGGTTTTGAGTAAACTCTAAAGAAAATTTTCCTTTGCTGCTGACATTTTTTGTTGGACTTAGCTGTGCCTTTGATGTAGAAATACAAACAATTTTAAACCAAGGGGGGATTTTTTCTTTAGACTCAGGAGGAAGATTAATGCAGATTGTCGCAACGTTTTTAATGAACTTGTTAAATCAAGGTCATAGCTCTGCTATCACTTAAAAATACTCCTGCCATAAAGCAAAGATGTAGTGCCAGATGTGTGGTGTGAATTGTCATGTATCTTAAAAATTTGGTTCCTGCATAATGATACGTTCAGTGATACAGAGCTCTGCACCACTGAGATTAGAATCTGTCATCTGTGGCTGAAATTCATAACGATATGGTGGCTGTTACGTAGCTAATCTCATTAATTTCCTGGTGTGTAAATGTCCAGGTCACAAAAACTTAGATGGCAATTTTCAGTAATTGGACCTTTGTTAGCAGTCTGTTGAGAGACACCGATAGCTTAATGGACACAGATCCAAACCTGAGAGGTGGTTCTTTCTGAGCTGAAATGAAGCACAACAGTGGTATCTATTGATACAGTGGTTTAAGTTTCTCTTCTGTGGTGTTTTCTAGAGAAATCAGCTTTTAACCATTTAAAGCTACTAATGCTAATTAAAATAAAGGAATTCTAAAAGGGAATCTGATACTACCTTTTCAATATGCTATTAGTTTAGAATGCCTCTGTATTTATATTTCTTCACAATTTTTTCTGATAGAGTATTGTAAATACTATTAACTCTATGGTCTTCTAATTTTAATTACTTTTACTTTAAAAAGAAATTAGAACAAAATGTTTGAATAATACAAATCTCATGAACAGGATTGAAGCGTAATTTTCTTTCATAAAACCCAATTAAATGCCCTAACAATTTAAGAGTGACTACATTTTATAGTTTTATAATTCTAGAATTGTTTTTTAATAACTTGAGCTGACAGATTTAGGTATAGAGTGCATATTTTGCCTCTGGTAGTTATTGTGTAATTAGAACTAATGAAGGATACTACAATTCAGATAGGTGGAATATAGTTTTGGTTCATATCTGAGTTCTTTCTGTCTTATTGTTGTCGGTTACCTCACAGTGCTAATGACAACTATAAAGTAGAATTAAAGCCTTTTAAAAAGTGCTATATTTGCTTTCACAGGGAATGGTGATGGTATTTTTTGCATTACTGCTGTACTCATATATTTCAGTCCTAATACAGGAGTCTCGTATGCCAAAAATTGCACCTATGTTGAAGAAGCTTGTTCCTTTTTCCCAGCAGATTTACAAATGTGTAAATTAATTATCACTGGAGTTTTTCATAAACTTTCAGAAGAGATGGTGAATCATCCAAAGTTTTCACATGTGCGCATGAGAGATCCTTGCCTTTAAAAGGACAGTCCCTCTTTGTCTGCAGTTTCTCTTGCGGGTGTAGTATGTATGTGAAGGTATTATAAGTGTTACTGACCAAAAGGCAAATCAGAAATCCAGGACTTCAGAAAATGAGCTTCCAAAAGTACACAGATGTTTCATACTGCTTCTGAAGCTTTTTGTTCACATTTTCCAAGTTGGCACACATACAGATATTAGGTTGTTAACTTTGTATTAAAGCAGACTACATTGGTAGCTTCCCAGCAGGCTTGAAGTTGAAATTTATTTTAATAAGGAAATACAGCCTTTTGTTTATGTCAATGCTTATGCAGCTGAAAAGGTACATCTGATTCCCCCAGAAATGTCTTTTCGAAAGATGGGCTATCAAAATCTCGGGTTTTCAAACATGCCTGAAGGAGTCTAATTACTTAGGTTTGTTTGACAACCTGGGGCTTCATGTTTCACATTCTTTTCCAGAATTCTTTTTGCAGATGCTCAGAGTTAGAGTATGTGTGTCCTTCAGCCATACAGGAAAAAGAACTGACTGACTCTGGGTCTCCTGTCATCTTTTGTGTGTAGGGCTGCAAAGAAATACTTGAAAAGAATAGAGGCAAGCAGCTATTTTTCCTAGTTCTGCTTCATTTATTATCTTCACAATTAGAGTTTATGTTGGGTGATTGATTTTGTACCATGGGATACAAAACTGCCCATTTGCAGTAAAGATATAATAGGCTGGAATGGGCTAGACAAAGAAATGTGTTAATATGGTGGAGTTAGGAAATCACATGTACTAGTGAGCTGTTCATGTGGGAAGGAAAGGTGCTTGTTTGGCTATCATTATTTTATGTGACCTTTCTATTTAATTATATTATGGCCAGGGATGCCAGATGCAGGCTCTCAAGTCCGAGGTTTACAGCTCAGGTGCGCTTGCTGAGGTCTGTGCATCAGACTAACTCAAGGACAAGAATACACTGTCTGTGCCAAGGTTGCTCCAGAGATGGAACAATCTAGCAAATGCAAATCCATCTGAGGTCCAAGAACCAGAGCCTTGTGTTTCACAAGGATTTAAAAAAAATACAACAAAGGGCGGAAAGGGTGTTTGTCCTTGATCATGTTTTGGAGATTGAGAAGGCTTTAAGGTGTGTCGTATCCTGAGATACACATATCAAAGAATTTGAAGTTTTCTGGATCTGATTTTTGAGTGAGAGGGGCATGTGACAGTTTATGTTCTTTCTTACCTTAGTCTGGGAAAAATCTTACCCTTTCAAAGCAAGATTAGGAATGCTTCACTTCAAGTTCCTCCATTGCAAACTGGGCTGGCGAGGTTCAGTGAGGAAGGGTTCTGTCGCTCTCTTAGAACCTTAGAAATGTTCTAATCTCTCCTATGTACTGTGTGCATTTTCCCACCAAAGATTACAGCTTCTGGAGGATGTTTTTGTTTTCCATCTCATTCTTTTTCAGGTTGTATTTTTTTAACAACTTACTTTATAGGTGCAACAGTTTAAAATGTGGGCATACGTCTTGTTGCATTGTGTCTTTATCTTTTAATCTTTTTTTGCCTTGCCAGTTGTGCAGATATGTACCCCATATAAGAAAGTGACAGGAGTTGCTTCTCCCTTAGGAGCAGTTTCTTTTCTAAATGCTCCAGAAGGAGCCTGTTGGCTGGATAGCAGTTGGGAGAGCAGTGTTATTATTGAGCTATTTCTGGTCACCTGTCCATGCATATCAGTCAGCTATCCACTAATGACTATTGTTGTGAATGTTCAGGACATATGGACTTTACTGTGGTCCTCGAGGTGTGAAGTATTACCATTCTACTTGGTCTTTTTGAGGGAAGGGGAGAGCCCATAGGGTCTTGCTCTGGTGTGCTGTAGTGGGCTAAATAAAGTAGATTTGGATAGTGAGAAACAGAAGTTAAAACACTCACTTTCTTCTCTCTCCTCCACCTGTCCCTTTCCCCAGTTTCAGATTCACCCCTTCATCCCAGCTCCTCTACTCTCCCCTACCCTGAGCAGGACAGAAGGATGAGGAGTGGTGGTCAGCACACAGCATCTCCTCTCTGCTATTTCCTCCTCCTCACACTTCTCGCTGCAGCATTGGGTACCTCCGCCTCTCTTTGTGCCTGTGGCACCAGCTCTCCTCTTCTCCTCCCACCATGCTGCTCACCCTGCTCTTTCACACTTTCTTCCCTCTCCTCTCTCTGCTGGATGGCCTTTCCCTCTTCCTAAGTGCTTTTGCTTTCCCTGAGCTGCCACCAGTGTGGCTGAGGACTCCACTGTACCCTGCAATGGGGCTGCCACACAACTGGACGTGCACACTGACAGAGAGCCCTAATGCCTTCACTGAGGCATGTCTGGCTGGCTCAGATAGGAATGCAATTGCATGTATTTCATTGAGATATCTGTCTCCTGACTCACTTCTCTCCAATACCCCTGGTTACCCAGGCCTCTCCACATCTTGATCTGCAATGCTGCCGTGTTTGGTGTTCCCTGGGTCTTGACGGAGGATGAGCTGGAGTCCACCTTCCAGGTGAACCACTTGGGACACTTCTACCTTGTCCAGCTTCTGGAAGATGTTTTACGCCGGTCATCTCCTGCTAGGGTTGTGGTGGTGTCCTCCGAATCACACAGGTTGGTGAAAGTTAGCTTTGATTTAGCCAAAACATTTAATCCTGAGAGCACAGAATGGTTGCGGCAGAACTGTGAAAGTTTTTGGGAATGAATGGCCTTGCTCTTGTAAAGCGTTTGCTTTTGAATAATCTTTTTAGAAATAGAAGCATTACTAATGCCTCTGGATGTTACTGGATTTGGCTCTGTCACTGAATAAAGCGTGAGCTAGTTTAATAACAGTATGTAGATATTCTTTGATCATTCTTTGTATGAATGCAGATTTTTGCCGCATTTCAGACCACTCATTGATTTTGCAAGGAGATGGAATAATAATTGATCAAATCTGAATGGCATGACCCGTATTGATTTGTCATTCAACAACTTCAACATCTTACCAAGAAGAATGTGCAGTTATTTTAGCAGGAGAAACAATGCAATTAAAAACTGCTAGATGAAATCCAATTGTTTTATAATGAGAAATTAGGGAATTCAATGCAGACATTAGCTGTATAATTGTAAAATGAGACATAGTGTAGTTAATACATATTAGAAATCTGGCCATGCCTCTTTTGGTGAGTTTTTTTTAATTAAAATGTTAGATGCTCATCTTTTCTACTGCCAGGAGAAGTAAAGTTGCCAAAAACCATGTCGGTGAGGTTTGCCTTATTGCAGACATGCTTGTGGTGTTTGTGTTAATAACTGAAAAGGTGGATTTGATTTAAATGAAGTTCCCTGTGCAAAATGCGTGCCCCAAATCTGAATTTTAGTGGGCACAAAACACTTACTGCCTTTCAATTTAGTTCAGGATCTGCAGGATTAAAACTATAATGTCCAGCTTTAAACATTACTGTTGATTTCTATTTCACTTTTGGTCATGTGTAACAGCCCTAGAAAACGGAAAGGAAGAATGTGTAAGTGCTTTTTTATTTTTTTCCCCTTGCCTTCATATTTCTGAAATGTTTTAGTGACCCAGAATGAAGCTTATTTTTTTAATCATGTTTCCATAAAATGTAACCCCAGGGACCTGGTAGAGAGAGACCAGCCAAGGGTCGGGCTGAAACCTTTATCACTTCCAAACACAGGGGCTTATGGTATAAATGACACACTGCAGATAGATTTACTTTTACCATTTTAAATTTATGATGGCTGAAATGAAAGGAAGCAATAGAAAATGCCAGTAATAATCCTCCCCAGTGCTAAAAGACATGAAATGTCTAGTAATTAGGTGGTAACAAAATCTGGACATCCTTATCTTTGCAAATCACACCAGGTTTGTGAAAGCAAGTAGCAGAGTCCTGTGAGGAGTGAGGGAGGCTACTGCAGGGCAGGCAAGATAGCTCTAGAAATAAATCTGCCAACTCCAATCACTTGCCAGATGTGGAGGGCACAATGGGATACGTATAAATGAGCTGTTATTTAATAGGAATTATGTTGAATTGTCAGCTGCTTGTTCCCCTTTTGTACGTTTCCATCTCTGATAGTATTTTAAATGACATCTTTGTTTTTCACTGTATTAAGTGCTATCTGTAACTAGACCATGCATCTCTGGACATCTTGGTCTGTGTTTTCAAAATATTTTTGAAGTGCTCATTGCTAACTCAGTAAGATCAGCCAAAGTTTATAGAAGCCCATCAAGAAATAATTACAGCCCATGTTTGAATAAAATGGTAAATGCAACCAGGAAATTTCCCTTTTTCTAAGGGGTCCAATTCATGTATTATGGCATATCTTAACACTAACAGTTACTGTAAATAACTGTGCCTACACCACCCCCCCCCCCAAGTCTATTTAATAGCAAGAAGTTGATGTAAGGAGTTAGTTTAGACATTAGGTATTATTGGGTAGTAGTACTTTCTGACCTACTTGAGAACTCTGAGCCTTAAACTATGTTGTAAAACAGAAGTGTTGTTATCTAATTACTTCCATAAACCTTGGCTGGATCTTTTCAATGGAGTCAAGACCCCCTGTTAGGGGAAAAATAAAGTCTCCTGTTTGGAGAAAATATTATACTAGACTGCTCCAAGGCAAAATATTTGTTTGCCTCTCTGGTTCTTCGTTCATTTCTAGTTACTTCTCTGGCTTCAGCACAAATGGATTCTGTTTAAATTAAGCTTCTGGTTACTTTAAGCACATCATATTAAAATCAGAATAATAAATAGTTGAGTTTCCTTCTGTATTTATTTCTATGTTGTTAATTTGATTGTACAGCCCTTATCCTACTGAATTCAATGAGATTGCCGACATAAGTAAGATTGTCTCACATAAGTACACTTGTAGGGTTGGATTCAAAATATGCCACCGTATTTTCATTATACAGTATTTTATTTATAGATTATTTTTGGTGTCATGAATGATTACTTGAGGGATGAATATAGGAAATTCCTCCCAGAATAGTACCATTAATTTCAGAAATGTATTTTATCTAACTGAATATTATGAAAAGAAATTTTGTTGTTGAAATTGAAGGGGTAATTCTGCAAGATACAGAACATCCTGGATTCCTCTTGAGTTCAAATACCACAGTTGCTTTTCTCTGAGTGTATTATAATTCTGCTCACAGACTGAATGTAGAAATTCCAGCTGATCTCTTCATTTCTGGGCACAAGATGCAAAATTAGTAAAGATATTTTAAAACATTTTTCTGGTGTGTACTATAATTATGTTTATCCCTGTTCTCTCCAGCTGATTCTGAAAACTCTGAGTATTAAAAAGAGCTTGCTAAATCCATTTTATTTTTAGTACCTCTTCTGAATAAAACATAGATCTGTAACTAAATGTAGTATTATTTTCAAATACTAAGATATAACAGTAAATTGAGAAATCAAATTAGAAGAATTTGGGAGAAAAATGCTATATGGAAACTTCCTTTTCTTCATCTAAATGTCTTTAGAACATTCACTACTTTGTTATTAAAAACAAAAAAGAAAAAAAAAAGGAAAGAAACAAACAGCTGGTGTTTAATGACTCTGTCAGACCCAATTAAAAAACATCAACTAGTTACTTTGATTTGTGTTCAGCCATGCCATGGGTATACTTAAAAACATTATACTCTGCCAGAACTCATTTTGGCTTTGTTTACATTTATCTTTTAAACATATAAGACTATTGATGGCAAGTTACCAAGGTTATAACCCCTTTATATTCATCAATTTTTAATCTAAAAAAGAGGCTAAGAGGCAGTGAGACTCATCCATAGCTACTTGAACACTTAAATGAAAGCGTGCAGTATGTGAACACTGGATGATATAATCAAGGGAAGGGAAGAAAGGGAAATGAAAGGATGCTGGTTTTCTGTGCTCATAATGCAGTTATCTTATCCTACATTATCTCCTCCAAGTTGGTTGTGCTTTCGTGACTCTATGGCAAAATCTTTTTTTGGATTTAAAATAAAATTATCTGTATGTTACATATGATGCCTTTAAATCATAAAAAACTTTTGTTATTTCAGTTCCTTAATAATTTGCTTTTGATAATTATTCAATATCTTTTTGCCCTATTATATGGTACTGTTCCCGAGTCTCAAACAATTTCCAGTAGATGCTTTTAACTGCTAAATGAGTTGTATCTGGCCAAGTTCTATTCTTTTGTCTGCATTTTATGTTCTTTTTAATGAGAGCAAAATTAACTCTGGAGTATCTAAGGCATATTTACTGGTTTTTAGATTTACAGAAATTAAAGACAACTCTGGAAAACTCGATTTCAGCCTGCTTTCTCCATCTAAAAAGGAGTATTGGGCTATGTTGGCCTACAATCGTTCCAAACTTTGCAATATACTGTTCTCCAATGAGCTGAACCGACGCCTTTCTCCCCATGGGGTGACGTCTAACTCAGTCCATCCTGGAAATATGATTTACTCCTCCATTCATCGTAACTGGTGGGTGTATACCCTGCTGTTTACCTTGGCTCGACCCTTCACCAAGTCCATGGTAAGTGAATCATAGTATTTTACACATATTCCTTTTTTTCTAATCAGGGGAGTAAAGTTATAAAAATCCAGATTTATGTATCTGCTTTAACCTATTGTCTTTTATTACTATGACCCTGATTTTAATTACAAAAGTCATTAGTTCGTTAGTACACACTAGTGAAGTGTTCTTTTTAGGGGATTCTTCAGCCATTTTAGATCAACTTTGTCAGTCTTCAGTAAAGGTACCTTGTTAGGTGGAATGCATGACTTCCTTGTTTGAATGCATGATTTTCACTGTGATTAAGGTAGTTGAACATCTTAGCTATGGGATAGCTTAGAGTTATTTCTGTGCTCAGTATATGTAAAACATCAAAAAATTGCTTTGGTTTTTAAGTGGAATACGCTTGACTACATTTTTTATGTAAACAGATGCCCTAGTTAAAAAGGATACTACAGACATTATTAATGGCTAGCGAAAGTGCCTTCAGTGGTAAAAGCACCTTCATTCATATTTAAAAATAAAAATAAAAACAAAAACAAAACCCCAACAATTTGCTTGATTCTTCCAAAGCACTGAAGGCAATGGATGTTTTTCCCTTTGTCTCCATTAGAGTGGGACCAGGACATAATGAAAGACTGCACAGTTCTTTCATAACCAACAGTATAAGGCTTCATTAGGTGAGAATTTGCAGCATCACCAGTTACTCTTATCCCTTGAACATCTGGCCCAGGTTATTTATCCTCTCTTTAGGCAGAGTATGACTGTTGCTTCATTGAGAGCTGCCTTCCTTTACCTTTGTATTCCTCATCCCTTATTCACTGACAAAGACGGGTATTCCCAAAAGGAAAGCAGGGAGAGCGAGTCTCCCCTGAATGTTTACAGCTATGAATCAGGGAAGTGGGAAGATTCATACCCCTGCAGAACTGATCTAGGCACAGCAATTTATTCAAGCCCAAACCAGGCCCTTTTTGCAGAAGACTTCACAAGTGACAAGGAGTTGTGTTGTAGCATAACTTACTGTCTGCTGAGCTGGGGATTCAGACCAATTAGCTTTATTTTAAAAAGAGCAGAGAAGAAATTGTTAAGGCAGAGGAATCCATCGTTAAGTAGCTTAATCTACCATATAAACTATAGAAGCTGAGCAAATCAGTGGTAGAACTTGCTTGTATACCTGCATAAAAAGTTTGCTTCTAATTTTCATTGTTATTTAGATAATGAAATTAATCTCATTTTTTACCATGTCAGTATAAGTGGAAACAACATTTATAGTGTTCAACACTCTGCTTACATGTCCAAAAAAGAACAGCTTCTTGAACAATATTGGATCTCCAGTAAGACTTGTGGAGCAAAATTAAAAACACTCTTGTGTGGTACACCGGTAATATGTCAGTCAGGGGAGTCTTCACACCTCTAACCTCCGCCTGCAGTCTGCAGGCTGTACATATGCAAAACCTATTTATGTCCATGATATTGGTAAGTGAGCATTCTGGCACCCTGGGACAAGTAATATCTTTCAACAGCATGTTTTTTTTTGACCAGGACCTTTAAAACCATGTCTCTGCTGTGTTAGGGATAGTTTGTAAAACAAATGCTTGAAGTTCTCCTGAGAATGAGTAAGTGAATGTATGCTATCAATGTCCCATAAAAAAGATCCAGCCTGTGGAACTTTATGAATTGTTAGTTTCATTTGCTCTGACATGGCTTCACAAAGGAACCTTTTGTGTTTGTTGCTCATAATAACCTCATCCTCTAAGGAACAAAATGAATCATGAAGTTAATTTTGGGTTCTTTAAAAAATTGATAGATTTTATTTTTTTTTCTCTAAATAGTAATCTGTTTATTTATAGGTGGTACATAAAAAAGAATGCAAAATATCAGCACTCAATATCAGCACACTCCAGTTCAAACCCAATCACTTCAGTCTTTCGTTTGTATTTCGCAGAGGTTATTTGAATGTTGTGCTGGAGGGTATGGAGGGTATGAGTGTAAGCATCAGGTTTATAGCTCATATTCTGATATGAACCGTTATGTTCCCCTGAACCTTACCAATATTTTCCTTGCCAGTAAAACTATAAGCGTGCCCCTTCCTGGGTAGGCAAACCCACTGAGCTGAAACTCTCAACATCATCAGTGTAAGAGTTTTTCTGTTCAAAGTTTTGTAGGGAACAAATGATATGCTGCTCCTCTTTGTTTTAGGGATTGCACTGTCACCAACCTGGAGCAGACTTTGTTGAGGATATTTTGGGGGCTTCCTGTCAGTATTGCTGTGGCATCTCACCTCAGGTTTTAGATGAGCGTTTTTGTCAGAGTACTCTGTGTGTGTCTTGTGTGTCTTAAGCTTAAAGCTTCAGTCCAAAGGTTGTGAACTGTATGTTCCTGTATTTTGCAAGGATGTCTGCATTGCACAATGCAGCATGATGCAGCAGCATTTAAAGTAGTTGAGTCTGAGCTGGGTCTGTAACTGGAATTAAGAGATCCGTGTCAAGGTTGCGTGGAGAGAGGTAAGGTTTATCAGCTCAGGCAAGGTGACTTGCAGATATGCCTGTGCCATTTTTGGTATCTGAGGCAGTAGCTTTAGATGCTGCAGCACTGTGGTACATGGAGACCCTAATCCTTCTGGAGGCAGTTTAAAGGTCTTTGCTACGTTTTGACCTGTAAAGACTCCTGGGGTCTGTGTAGATGCATGCATGTATATGCATATATGCGTACACACACACACACACACACACACACACACACACACACACAGAGTGCCGCTGCACATAACAGATTATAACTGGGACCTTTTTGTGTTATTGTAAAAACTGTTAATAAAAAAAAAAATCATCTTTAATTTGTATTTCATAAAGGTAGACTTACTAGATATTCTGTGAATGGTGGATAGCTTAAAGTTTCAGATCTTTTGGTAACTTTGAAGCTAGAGAATTAGAAAATACATTTATTTCCCTACTATTTATTTCCAGAACAATATAATTCTTACGTTATATCCTGGCTACAAGTTGCTACTTCACACATTTGAGTTAGTTGTCATCATTTTCTGTGGTACTTGTAAAATTATCTATTTAACCTTCGCTTACTAGAAATCATAGCTTTTAGTAGTTAATTTGTTTTGTTTCCAACAAGGAAGAAATATACATTGTGCATCCAAAATGAATTTTTTTAATGTAGTTGTTCAGTTCTTGAGTGTTGAAAAGCTGCACTTTGGTTGACGAGGATGTTGTATTTTCATCAGAAATGCATGTTGTTGTCTACTGTGAATCACCATCCTGGGGAGAGGTCATGAAGCCTCCGGCACGTGGCACTTGGGGTTATTTGGCATGACAGAATTTAGCTTAGAAAACACTGCTGGTAGTTGTTCGGTTTTAGCTGATTCCCTGAAGAGTTGAATAGTCTAATATCACACTCTTATTTACCTGTTTGCTGTTACTTGCTGTAAGTTTTGTGACTTAATGTCAGTAATCAGGACACTTTATGAAGTCTGGCTGTTTTAACTTAAAATATGATTTTTCTAAAGGAGCAAACATAGGGTTTATGTCTTTCTAGTGTGAGGCTTTTAGGAACTCAATTTTAGTTGTTTGTGTAAATGGTCATACCTTACTGCAGTAAATGCAACTCCACATTTTGCAAACGTTCTACGAGTGACTACAGCATAAAAATTGTGTCATGTTTATACAGGTAATAGTGAATTCTTGTGTGGAATCACAGGGAGCTGTCTCGTCAGCTTTTGAAACAGCAGAATATTTAAATCACTGATGCTTATTAAATAGAGCTGAAACTGGAAACTGAGACTATTCCTTTTTCCCACCCACCTTTTTTTAAGATCTAAAATCTACAAGGATTTGCTAGACAGAAATGGAGAACAAGTCTGTTTTTGTAGTAAGCAGTAGTTGCAAGTAAATTACCATTTTATTATTGTAGTAACTGTAGCTCTAATAATGTTCAAAGGGCTTCTCTTTTAGTTACCACTATATAGTTACTGAGTAAATTGGAGAAGCTTGTAGTATAATTAAATGTCAATTGAAACAAGTGGCCACTGTAAATAACAGTTTGGAAGAGAAGCTCTGAATGTTACTTCGTAGGCAGTGTATGTGCTTAGCTGGTTTGATCTAAGGGTTCATGGTTCTACTCCTCTTTCATTTTCTCAACTTCTTTTCTTTTTACCTCCTTCTTCTGTGCTTTTTTTGCTCTTCTTTTCTCCTTCTGTCTCTCTCTTCTCTCCTTAAAAGTTGTCTCTAGTGCAGTTTGACTAAGTTAAGTTAATGCTAAGTCATTCAGGACCCATCTGATTTGTTCTTACTTACACACACGATTAAAATTAAATACATTTATTGTAAGTTTGGAGCTTACACTGAGTGTGCTGTCTAGTGTCATCCCCTGGTGATTTTGTGAGTGTACAATGGCATATAAAATTAGGAGCAGAGTGCCATAATTGCACACTTGTGATAGCCTTACATAGAACCAAATATTTTTGTTGGCAGGTAATACAGCAGAAAGAATATCGTGTGTTAGAGTAGCAAGAGCTTAACAGATGTTTCAGTGAACTGAGTTTTCAGATCCTTTTACATTAAGAAATGGCTAGAGTTTGTAGAAGTTCTGAGACTATTGGGTTACATTTCCTGTTGCAGTGCAAAGCCAGCCATTGTGCTAGAGTTTTAGCAGATGTGTTACCCATTTCTAATGGCTTGGAATAAAACATTGGTTCTCATACTGAAATATACACTACATCTAGAAGAGCTCAACCTGTCGCCTTTAAACAGCCAGCTAGCTGCAGTAAGACCATTCTGGCCTTAATTTTGCGCTGTGTAAGAGACTGATACTTGAACTGCTCTTTGATCCTCCTCCCTTAAAGATAGTAGCTTTTCAGAATAGGATTTTGTATTTAAAGTATTTGCTATTGGGAATTATAAGGAACATTTTTAAGGGCCCCAAAGTCCTTTGCATATATTAGTCTTTCATAAAACAATGAATTGTCATTCTGGTATTATCTCAGGAGTGGTTTATGCAGTGTACATATATTG